GAAGTTGCCAAACCTTATAGGCGCGGCTTTTTAAGAGCTTTTTTTCATGAAATTTCACTCCGCAACGTTTCCTTAGCTCTTCGGCGTGTAATATACTAGTAACCGAGCCTCGTAAGCCGTGACCTCGTGACCTCGTGACCCGGAAGTAGATGGGATTAGCGGTATCACGGAAACCCCCATACAGTTCGAAAACCTACGCCAAAATGAGTTCTTAGCTAGCGAATAAAGGTCAACTTTGACGCTACAAAGCTCGTTTTTGAGTACAAGTGTGATCTTCAAGTGAACTTCCCGAGGTTCCCTGACTTGTAAGGATTGCAACGACATATATTTTAGCCTGGCTTTCCCGATTCTGACTGCGCTATGATAAATTCTGTGAACCATGCTAAGGACTCATTTCGGCGGTTAACACAAGAAACCCACGTCAGCGCAGTCCGTCCTCGTTCCTACCAAGACGAGAGCTATCTGCACGGATTTCTTGGAGCTGTGGGTGACTTACAGAAGGAAGGGGAACTGCAGGATGTCGTCCTTGAAGTCGAGGGCCGGCGGTTTCCCTGCCATCGGCTTGTTCTGTCCGCGGCCAGCCCCTACTTCAGAGCCATGTTTACAAGCGACATGGCGGAAAGTCGGCAGAACACGGTTGTTTTACAGGTGAGGTTTGACGCTTATAATATCATAAGGGTTCCCTAGAACAAAACAGGATTTTTACAGAGATTCCAAATATCCCATAGTCAAAACCAGCGAAATTAGGAGAAGTTCATAATTCTTCCTGAAATGAGCACAGTTTACTGCCCCCCTCCCCACACACATAATTTACTGCTCTGTAATTTGGTGTCAAATATTTTGCCAGCTTCACAGTTCCAGCTTCACAATTCACCAGCTTCACAATTTTTTAAACTCTAGAATAAGCCCTTTTTTGTTTAATCGTGATATATTCAGCCACTATCACTAGTAAATATGATGAAACTTGGTACTTTATTTTCCATAACAAAATGTAAAAGAGTCATTACAAAATCAACAGACAATAGCAATGAAGTTTGAACATTGTGTTGTACAATTTCTTCTGTAGGGTTTGGATGCAGATATGTTTGAGGAGATCCTGAGTTACATCTACTCGGGAACCCTCCGTGTGTCCCTGGACAGAGTGCAGCCCCTGTACCAGGCAGCTGACCTCCTCCAACTGGACTATGTGAGAGACACCTGCAGCAGCTACATGGCCATGAACGTGGAACGCTCCACCTGTGTGGACCTGTACAAGTTTGCTGATGTTTTCAGGATGGATGTTGTTCTTAACTCTTGTCTGCAGTATATATGTCAGCATTTTGTGGAGGTTGGTCTTCTTTTACATACATTGTGATCAGAGACTTCAATAAAAATTTTCATGCACGACAAAACCTAGTAATGGCAGCACAATATAGACAAACATGACACATCATATGACTGAGTATAGCTTTTTGAAAACAGGAAGAAAGCATTTGGTAAGCTACTCAAAGTGAAACACTTGTCAATAGGTGTTAGGAACTGATGTATGGTGGTTGTAGATATCTCTCCAGGTTGCTCTGTTTGCAGCATATAATGTTAGCCCCCAGTTTGCCCCTGCTCACAAGTTACAGCTAAAATTCAATTATTTGGATTGCCAAATATTCAAAACTATTCCACGCCTCCTAAGGTTTCCTCCAGTGAGGAATTCTGCAGCCTGAGTGTGGATCAGCTGACTGAGATCATCAGCCAGGATAAGCTGGAGGTTAAAGAGGAGACAAGAGTGTGGGAGGCTGTGGTGAGATGGGTGCAGCATAGCAGGGAGGACAGGTGGGCAGCTGTGTTATGTTTACAGGTGTCTTTCATCTAGTTAGTCATAATTGTATGGATACATCGTATCGACTGAAGATGCCTGACTTTATTGATGACATTCACAGGGTATTAATTTTGTCATGTTTAGTCCCAGGAGTTAAAAGCTCTGCCCCTATCCTGTACCCTACAGACTGCAGCACCTACCCAGCATCCTCCCTCACATCCGCTTCAACCTGCTGACCTCAGACAACAAGACAGCCATCTTGGATCACCCCCTGGTCAGGGAGGATCATGGGAGTTCTGAGGTCATCAGGAACATGGTCAACCGGAAGCCGAGGCTTGGGATGACCACAGAAATGGCTCTGCTATACGATGTCGAGTATGTATATACAATTGTACATGTACTTCTTTTTTGACTCTGTTTACCTGCTATTATTTCTCTTTAGCATTACTTTCAACATCAATCCAACAACCAACAAATTGAATTGTTACAGCTTGATCATTAAAGGAATCTCACTCTTTACAGCACTGATGAGGTACTTTGGATGAACCCAGGAGAAGGGAAGTTGATCAGGTGCCACTACAACCTATATCCTAGATATATGGGTGCCGTTACTCATGATAATGAGATCTATATCTTAGCTGAAGATTCCTATGACGTTATCCTGCATAAGTACAACCATGTTGAGAACGATTGGGAACAAAAGTCTACAGTGTACATAGAAACAGAAGACCGTCCGATGGCTGTGCCACCACATCACGTACTTATGGAAGCCGATGGACATCTTTTTCACCTTCTTGAGAAATCATCTCTGGTGGAGTTCAAGAAATATAACCAGCACACAAATGAGTGGCACAACTGTTCAACACCTCAGCATGGTGGGCGGATCTACATCGACGTGGCAGTGTCCTGCAATCAGCGCATCTACCTCTTCACACGGACGGAAATGCATTGGTACGACCCGAGGGAAGACCAGTGGACTGGGAAAGCCCTGTCAGATTACAGTCCTGACATGAACGGTGTTTTCGATACAGCAGTTGCCATGGGAACAGAGATCTTCTGCTCGAATTATTACTTTGCCAAGACAATGGTGTATGACACAGAGGCAGACAGCTGGTCTGAGCGTTCAGGGTTGTTGAACACAGATGACGATTTAGACATTGAAAACTGTACTCTTTTTGTACTACAAAACAAGCTGCATGTATTGGTAGGTGGCCGCTATTACACGAGGTCAGACTCCACGCCATATCGGCAGGTTTACGTGTATGACAGATCTGAAGATGTTTGGAGAGAGTCATTGATCGTGCCAGATGGATGTTGGTGTTGGTTTGATCCTTCTTGCCCCGTGGCTCGCATGTACCTACCATATCTGAACACCGGCCAGGAAGAAACACAGGGGGCAGCAAACCCAGAGGAACCGAGTGGAGAATAGTTTCAATAGTGTATAGTGCGCAACCCATCAGAGAATGTGTGGGAATATTGTGGATTATACATGTATTAGATTCGTCAGACTTCGTTCACTTGTTTGTCTGAGTTGATTTTATAATTCATTTCCATGGAACAAAGAGTAGGCACTGCGTTCAGGAGGGAATAGTAGTCTCTCCATGACCTCAGCAGACCTGTCATAGTTTGGTTCAGTGTGCTTGCAGTGCAGGACTGTTGAATGATATCTCTGTGTTGCACAGTTTCCTGTTCTTGCTGAATGCCCCACCATGGGGTAGAAGTTTCTGCATGCAAACTAGCACTGTGACCTTTATTGGAAAGTGATGTTTGCTTCGAATTCTCAAAGTGCCCTGATACTGTCAGTATACGGATACTGCTTACCAAGAAATGTGTCCAGTGATAGCATTGTATTGTTAGTATCTGTCCTAACATTTACTATTTAAATCTAACACCATATGTATGGGCACTTAATATTGGTAGATTATAGCACAGTTGATACTTAATCAATCACCTTGAATTATATATCAATAGAAAGCTAAGTTTGCACCTTCGTATGACACTAACAAAATTTATGTGCACTTGTATTTACTCACAGTTCTGTCACATCTTGTTGACAATGTATACTTTTTATAAGTTATATAACAATACTGATGAATAGTAATAGCTGGCCTGTATTTTTTGAAGCACTATTTTTACAGACATTAAATTGTTTTTCACTTACACATGTATTTCAAACCTTTTCTTGAGAAAACTTTTGAATCCCCCAATACAAACCCAGAGTGAGAGTATTACAGAACCAACCCATAGGTTCTCCGTTTTGGGAAATCAGTCTTAAATTTTACGTCAATGAAGGACAGGCATCGAGGTAAAATATTAATTACGTAGAACAAAATAAGTCAACAGGATAAATACTCAGAAGACTTCATCTCAGACAGTAATAAACATAGCTTTCAGTCTTACTGGTAACAGTTACATGTAACAGATTTTTGGTTATTTCGCTTCTTTCATCCAAACAACACTTTCTAGTAAAAGGAAAAATACATCACCTTTAATTACAGCGGTTCCTCAGAATTCCTTCACTTTTGGTCCAGGAATGAAAAAGGTTATGACCATTTGCATCACAGGTTATCATAACTAGGCCCAATTACGTCCTGATTACTATATGATGTTTTAACATACCATTACATTTTGAAAACGCCAAGTAACTTGTATTTCCACTATAAAACCAACACTTAAGTCAAGGACATGCAAAACAACCTTGAGATGTATTGACATCGATATGTATACTATATCGCTACATTATGTGAGTAATCAAGGTACGTTTAGGGTTCCCCTTGGGAGGCAAAGCATCATCATCATCAACATGGCTGCCGCGGACCAAGAAACCCACGCCAGCTCAGTTCGTCCTCGTTCCTACCAAGACGAGAGCTATCAGCACGGGTTTCTTGGAGCTGTGAGTGACCTACAGAAGGAAGGGGAACTGCAGGATGTCGTCCTTGAAGTCGAGGGCCGGCGGTTTCCCTGCCATCGGCTTGTTCTGTCCGCGGCCAGCCCCTACTTCAGAGCCATGTTTACAAGTGACATGGCGGAAAGTCGGCAGAACACGGTTGTTTTACAGGTGAGGTTTGACGCTTATAATATCATAAGGGTTCCCCAGAACAAAACAGGAGATTCCAAATATCCCATAGCCAAAACCAGCGAAATTAGGAGAAGTTCATAATTCTTCCTAAAATGATCATAGTTTACTGCCCCCCTCCCCACACACATAATTTACTGCTCTGTAATTTGGTGCCAAATATTTTGCCAGCTTCACAGTTCCAGCTTCACAAATTATCCACCAGCTTCACAATTTTTTAAACTCTAGAATAAGCCCTTTTTTGTTTAATCGTGATATATTCAGCAGTTCAGCTACTATCACTAGTAAATGTGATGAAACTTGGTACTTTATTTTCCATAACAAAATGTAAAAGAGTCATTACAAAATCAACAGACAACAGCAATGAAGTTTGAACATTGTGTTGTATTCTTATGCAGGGTTTGGATGCAGACATGTTTGAGGAGATCCTGAGTTACATCTACTCGGGAACCCTCCATGTGTCCCTGGACAGAGTGCAGCCCCTGTACCAGGCAGCCGATCTCCTCCAACTGGACTATGTGAGAGACACCTGCAGCAGATACATGGCCATGAACGTGGAGCGCTCCACCTGTGTGGACCTGTACAAGTTTGCTGAGGTCTTCTCTGTCAGGATTGTCCTGAATCCCTGTCTGCAGTACATCGTCAAGAACTTTACTGAGGTTTGTATAGTATTTATGTTGCCTACACTGTACATCTCTATATATACATGTATATTAGGCCACACCAATTTAATTTCTTGGTTAACGGATTTGCCGCTTCATTTTTTTCTGATTTGCAAATAAAAATAAAAATTCAGAATCAACTGCAAAATGCTCATATTTTGCCCTGAACAGTTGAAAACAGTCCTTTTCATCCTACTTGTTACAGTTATTCCATCTTTCAAGGCAGTGGTATCATTAAAAGTTCAAAATTCATTGCTTAAATTTTTAACCAGCCTGGTATGTTGACTTTATGGCTCCTTTCGTACCATTGTGGGCCATAATAGGATGCCTAGGCCTGTTTTTATTTTTATTATTTTTTCACCCGCCCGCTCCATTATTTTTCTTTAAAAATCTGTTAACCAAGAAATTAAATTTGTGTGGCCTTAGCTAAATAATAATTAATAGTTGCCTTCCTGTTTAACTAAGTTTATCTTTCTTGATGATATGACTCCTTGAGTTCTCATACACATGTACTTACTGTACTAGTAGTACATCACTACATGTTGTCTGTACCTCCACAGGTTTCCTCCAGTGAGGAGTTCTGCAGCCTGAGTGTGGATCAGCTGACTGAGATCATCAGCCAGGATAAGCTGGAGGTTAAAGAGGAGACAAGAGTGTGGGAGGCTGTGGTGAGATGGGTGCAGCACAGCAGGGAGGACAGGTGAGCAAAACATAGAGATGCAGATTATCTGCCGGGACTGACTTGTGCTGACTTTTTCAAGATGGGACATTGAAATTTCGAGTGTAACAGGAGAATCATGCATATTTATTGTAAATAATTGTGTCTGTTAGCCAGATAATACTAGTTATTTTAAGTACACTTAGATATGGTCCTATTTTGGTGTCGTGAGCACTTTAAAAGCTCTTCCCCTATCCTGTACCCTACAGACTGCAGCACCTACCCAGCATCCTCCCTCACATCCGCTTCAACCTGCTGACCTCAGACGACATGGAAGCCATCTTGGAACATCCCCTGGACAAGGAGGATCATGGGAGTTCTGAGGTCATCAGGAATGCGGTACAGACGAGGAACCCCAACCTGAAGCCGAGGCTTGGGATGACAACGGAAATGGCTCTGCTGTACCACGAAAGGTATTTGCATATTCATACATGTACCTATCCTTTGCTTCTGTTTTCATGTTTAGCATTATTTTCCTAAATCCAAGAACCAAAATTCAGTTGCCATGGTCTGATCATTAAATGCACCTTGCCTTTACAGTACAGATGAGGTACTGTGGATGAATCCAGGAGAAGGGAAATTCATCAGGTGTCACTACAACCTACGTCCACTTATGGGTACGGTTACTCCTGATAATGACATCTATGTCCTAGCTGAGGGAGATTCAGACAAAATTACCCTGCATAAGTACAACCATGTTGAGAACAAATGGGAACAAAAGTCTACAGTGTATCCAGGGGTTTTTCTAAACAGGGGAACAGGGGCGCTGCGCCCTCATGTAACAAACCAGCGCCCTCATATCAATTTTCAGATTGAAGCCTAAGTCTTTTTCAAAATTATCTTTTTCCAGTAAAAATACAAAAACAACACCACATAACAATGTATTCTAGCATTACAAACTATGTTACTCTCATAAAAATTCCAAAATCTTACCATAAACATGAAAATTCAGCTCTAGTAGTAAAAGTTTGAATGGAATAAACAATGTTCATTGAGAACTTGCTCAAAGACAAGTAGCTGGGCCTCCTTCATTTGCATACTATAGAACAGGCTCTGAAGTGAAACATGAGACCTGAGTTTGTAGCAGCTTGGATGAATGTGTTGCTATTTTGCCATTATGGGAAAGGTTTGAGCTTGTGGCAAACCCAGTGTTGTCATCTGGAGCTACTAGTAACATTAATCACTAATTGCGTACTAGAAAGGGTGATTTGCAGATTGTGTGTACTGCTGATTGTACATGTACTTACAATGTATATTTTACAAGGGAGATAGAAATAGAAATTTGGGAAGAATATTGAGAAAAATAACCTTGAATTCTTTTAGTCTATTTATCCTTCTCCTATGCCTTTCACATACATTATACTAATGGAAATTTGTATTGAGCATTATATTTATCATATTCAATTAATTGTAAGAGGACTGTGTAAGAGGACTGTGTGAGTGAGTGTCTAAATATTTTTTTTACAACCAGGTTACATGTACATCATAGTTGTTTGTTTTTAAAGAAACATACAATGAAAGAGTTCATATTTCCCCCCTCAAGTAGCCTCAAAATGTCCCATTTCAACTTCAAATTTTCAAAGGCTTCACATCGCGGAAGGGGGGATACCCCCCTTCCGCACCAACCCCCCCTCGGTCGCTTCGCTCCCTCGCCATGATTGTGCTCCCCCATGCCAAATTTTTCTAGAAAAACCCCTGGTGTATGAAGAACCTTTAGACCCAGGCGATCTGCAACAGGATAACTACCTGATGGAAATCGATGGACATCTTTTTTACCTTCTTGTGACATGGTCAGTGGTGGTGTTGAAGAAATACAACCAGCACACAAATGAGTGGCACAACTGCCGAACACCTCAGCATGATGGAATTTTGGACTTTAGCGTGGCAGTATCCTGTAACCGGAACATCTATCTCCTCACCAAGAATGTTGTACATATGTACAACCCAAGGATAGACCGGTGGGGCAGGATAGCCCTGTCAGACTACAGTCTTCAATTGAAAGGTATCTACTGTTCAGCCGTTGCCATGGGAACAGAGATCTTCTCCATGGATTATGACTTTAAGACGACATTGGTGTATGACACTCAGGCAGACAGCTGGATTAGGCGCCCAGGGTTTCCGGAAATAAGTCGTCAAGATCAAGATATTGATATTGAAAACTGTTCTCTCTTTGTGCTCCAAAACAAGCTGCATGCATTGGTCAACTGTGGCAGTCACTCACATCAAGGCCAGTACACATGTCTTCAGCAGGTTTTTGTGTATGACAGGTCTGAAGATGCTTGGAGAGAGTTGTCTGCTCTCCACGCTTGGCGTTGGAGTACACGAGAACCTGCGTACCTCGTGGCTCATATGTACCTACCATATCTGAACACCGGCCATGCTGACACACAGGGTGCAGCAAACCCAGAGGGACAGCCTGGAGAATAACTGCATTTGTCCATATTACAGTACAACCAATCAGAGAACGTGTGGGAACATGCTAGAACGTCCGTGTGGATTGGTTTGAGATTTGGCACAGTATGATAACTTTGTTGTCAAAGTTGATTTTATACATGTAGCACATTATGCATTTTCATGGTATAGAGAGTAGGCACGGTATACATAGGGAATGTCTGTCTATCTCCATGCCTCAGCAGACCTATCATAGTTTGGTTCAGTGAGCTTGCAGTTCAGGACTGTTGAATGATGTCTCTGTGTTGTACTGAGTTTTCAGTTCATGCTGTATACCACCACTATGAGATAGATGTTCCTGCACTTAAAGCGGTTTGATTTTAACTTGAGAGTGGTGTTTTCTTCTTAAGTAATTAAGGGACTTCTTAATCTTATGACTGACCTGATGTACGAATGTCACTTATCAGAAAGCACATTCTTTAACAAACTTGTCCAAATATTGCATTATATTTTATCTGCCCTTTGGTTCATTGTGTTAACACAAAATTTACAGGAACTTGACTTCAATAGTTTATAGCTTGAATGATGCTTCATAAATCACATTACATTTTTATGAGCATTTACTTGCACTTCTGTTCCATGTTCTTGAGAATGTAATAAAGAGACTGGTGACTAGGAAGAGCATATTTTTGGAGCATCATTTTCACAGAGATTAAACTGTTATTTACATACACAAGTGTTCTGATGATTTTTTAAAAGGAAGCTTGTGATTTACACGAATCCAGAATGAGGATATTCCATATAGCTAACCCCTAGGTTCCCAGAGTTGGAAAACAGTCTTACTTTTACTTCAAAGAAGAACAGACATCCAGGTAAACATTACATCAAACAAACAAATAAACTATGTAAGTGAAAAGTAAATTAACTGTATAGATTCTCTGAATACTAGTACTCAGATCATACTTCTCCAATGTTTGAAATATCAGCAGGCCCTACATTTATTGGATTACTAATACTTTATAATGTAGATGTACATGTACAATCATGACAGTATTCACATCCGACCAAGAGCTGCCAACATATCATCAGATTGTGAAAACTCCCTGTAACTTGAATTTTTCACTACCAAACAAGCACTCAAGCTACGAGCAGGCAAATCCACCTTGTCAGCAATACTGATTATGTCCATATCGGTTATTACTATGTGTCGCTACATTATGTGGGTCATCAAAGTACACATACAGTTCCCTTTGGAGGTACATTGTACAGCACCGTCATCATCATCAACATGGCTGCCGCGGACCAAGAAATGCACGTCGGCTCAGTTCGTCCTCGTTCCTACCAAGACGAGAGCTATCAGCACGGGTTTCTTGGAGCTGTGGGTGACTTACAGAAGGAAGGGGAACTGCAGGATGTCGTCCTTGAAGTCGAGGGCCGGCGGTTTCCCTGCCATCGGCTTGTTCTGTCCGCGGCCAGCCCCTACTTCAGAGCCATGTTTACAAGTGACATGACGGAAAGTCGGCAGAACACAGTTGTTTTACAGGTGAGGTTTGACGCTTATAATATCATAAGGGTTCCCTAGAACAAAACAGGAATTTTACAGAGATACCAAATATCCCATAGCCAAAACCAGCGAAATTAGGAGAAGTTCATAATTCTTCCTGAAATGAGTTTACTGCCCCCCTCCCCACTAAATTTACTGCTCTATAACTTGGTGTCAAATTTCTTGCCAGCGTCACAGTTCCAGGTTCACAATTCACCAGCTTCACAATTTTTGAAACTCTAAAAGCCCTTTTTTGTTTAATCATAATATATTAAGCTACTATCACAAGTGCATCACAAGTAAATGTGATGAAACTTGGTACTTTATTTTCCATAACAAAATGTAAAAGAGTCATTACAAAATCAACAGAAAACAGCAATGAAGTTTGAACATTGTGTTGTATTCTTCTGTAGGGTTTGGATGCAGACATGTTTGAGGAGATCCTGAGTTACATCTACTCGGGGACCCTCCATGTGTCCCTGGACAGAGTGCAGCCCCTGTACCAGGCAGCCGACCTCCTCCAACTGGACTATGTGAGAGACACCTGCAGCAGCTACATGGCCATGAACGTGGAGCGCTCCACCTGTGTGGACCTTTACAAAATTGCTGAGGTCTTCATGGTGGATGTTGTTCTGAACTGTTGTCTGCAGTATGTATGTCAGCATTTTGTGGAGGTTGGTCTTGTTTTAGTTTTATATTGTGTTCAGAGACTCTATTTAGTCTAAGATCAATTTTCATGCATGGTAAAATTTAATGGAGAGAAATGTGTTTAAATTGCCAACTATTTATACCTATTTCTCGCCTCCACAGGTTTCCTCCAGTGAGGAGTTCTGCAGCCTGAGTGTGGATCAGCTGACTGAGATCATCAGCCAGGATAAGCTGGAGGTTAAAGAGGAGACAAGAGTGTGGGAGGCTGTGGTGAGATGGGTGCAGCACAGCAGGGAGGACAGGTGGGCGGCAGTCTTGTTTACAGGCTTCTCTGACACTTTCTCTGACACTCTCTGGCATTAGTCTGGAATTGTATGAATACATCTTATGACTGAGGAAATCTGATTCTATTGATAACATTCAAGCAGGCATTAATTTTGTCTAGTTACCATGATACATTACACATGAAAAGCTCCATTTCTGCAGTGATTTAGAAAACTCTTCCACCCTACAGACTGCAGCACCTACCCAGCATCCTCCCTCACATCCGCTTCAACCTGCTGACCTCAGACGACACGGCAGCCATCTTGGAACATCCCGTGGTCAAGGAGGGTCATGGGAGTTGTGAGGTCATCAGGAATCTGGTACAGACAAGGAACCCGAAGCTAAGGCCGAGGATTGGGATGACCACAGAAATGGTTCTGCTATCCAACATAGAGTATGTATATGTTTATGCATATACGTCTGCTTTGTCTAACTTTCTAGGTGGTATGGAACAGTTCTTACACAATGTCATTACATTGTTTTTCCTGCAATTTACATTTCCACAGTGTCAGTCATGTAACGTTACATACTGTATGCTCTGACCTATACATGTTGTTGTTGTAGTTTCCAAATGTAGTTTCCAAATGTGTTGTAGAAAAAGATATAGTCTGCAACAGGCAAAATTCTGGTGCAACATGCAGTGTTTTGCTCAGATGCAGTGTGCTCTGCTGACATGTGTAGCATAGGCTAGTGGTTAGTGACCCTGCCTCTGGACCAAGAAGCTGAAAGTTCAAATCCCGCCTGTAATGACATGCATGTTACAGGAAAGCGTTACAGTCCTTAGGATAAGACGTTAAGCTGTGATCCACTGTTCATCGTGCATGTCAAAATGAGCTACTTGCATGGGAATTCTCTGGCACAATGAACCTGTAAATACTGTACATTAACAGTACATATCATCTGTCGTGGCCAGTGAATGGTAGCACTTTAGTGACCTAAAACTGAGATCAATTTTCTTTCCTCTCCAGGACAGTAGAAGATGAGATCCTGTACATGAACCCACAGGAAGGGATGTACATCAGCTGCAGTGAAGACCTACCCGATTCTTCAATGGTAACGGTCACCAGGGATAATGATATTTATACCCTTGTTAATGGAAGAGATGAGAGTACTTATTATCAGTTGTCAATGTTGAAGTACAACCATGCAGACAATGTGTGGGAAGATGCTGGTATGTCCTCAGTATCTGGGTTCCAGAGAGAAGACTCAGGTATGTTTACTCACCAGGATGAGTGCCTTCTTGAAGTGGATGGGATTTTATATTACCTTGCTGCTGATCTAGGAGAAGTCAGTGCGTTGGTACGGATGAAAAAGTATGACCAGCGTACAGACCAGTGGCAGGACTGTTCACAGCTGTTACTTGATGGACAATGGGATGACGGCACTGCAGTGTCCTGCGGCTCATACATCTATTTCCTCATGGACTCAGCGATGCATCGTTACAATCCCAGCCAGGACTGTTGGTGTGAGCTAACTCCACCAAACCTTTGGTGTCTTCTCCGTTGGATCATAGCTGCTGCCATGGGAACAGAGATTTTCTGCACAAATTTTCACTTCACTGTGACTATGGTGTACGACACAGAGTCAGATTGCTGGCGGGAACTGCCAGGCTGGCCAAACCCAGGAAACCATTCTACTAATCATGTCCGCAAGTTTTTCGTACTGAACAACCAGCTGCACGTATTCTTAGAAACCTTTGACACTGACAAACAAAGGCCCACAAGAGACTATCGGGTGTATGTGTATGACAGGTCTGCTGATGCCTGGAGAGACTTGAAGGCCACTCTGCCTAATATTAAAAAGCAGTATTATGCAACCGGGCCTATGTGCCCTGTGGCACGCATCTACATACCATATCTGAAGGGGGCACAAAAACACATCACCTGTTATGGTTTTAAGCCATGTTAGATTGTCAGGTGACTGTTAATGCGGCTAAAAGGACATGTGGAATACCGGTACCGGTCAAGGACATTTTTGTTTAGATGCCACCTTTTGCAGAACACCTGCACAATTGGAAAGATCTGGTTCTAGTTGTAGTTCATTTTATACTTAAGTAGCACTTGATTTTTGACAGAAAGTCCTCCTCCTTTTCTCTACCTAAGGGGTACCTTCCATGATTGGCCTGATGTTCTGTGATTTAACAGCAAGGGTACCACTAGTATGCGTACCATTTTACATAGTACACTATATGGGTTCCCTATCCCCCCTAACTCATTGTGTGTATGTAATATACCTATATCAAGGATTTCACCAAAGGAACAAAGATGGTATGACATTTAGTGTTGGGTTCTTTTTATTAAACATGATGTAAGTACAGACTGTACATGTATACATTTTAGGTCAGCGAACAGCTTGTCAGTCTTTGAATGATACAACCTACATTACCTCCTTTGATAATCTAGTACCTCCTATCTAGCTCCTACAAATTCTTGCTTGTTTGATACATGTTCCATGTTCAATTCGTGCTACCAGCTTTGCATTCCTGTTGTTTGGCTCCATTTTTTCAGCCTCTCACATTATTGTCAGAGGATGTCATTCATAAGTCAGTGTGACCTAACTAGTTCAAGTAGTTGATAAGGGGAGCACATGTACAGGACCCTGAGTAAACTAACTAGTTGATAAGTTGATAGGAGCCAGTGAGTTAACTAACTAGGGTGTCTAAGACATCTTGGTGGATCTTAACATCGGGAAGTGCAGGAGGGGAAGACATGATCTATGGCTCAAGTATGTGTCCACACCTGCTCACCCATCAACACCTGTCAAAATTAAGGAGGACGTCAATGATACCAATCTTTCATCAATGACTGACCGATCATTCCGACAGAAAGAGCCATATAGAGGCAAATTTGTCAACAGATATTGAAATGAAATCCTTTATTGTACATTCATGCCACAACGGGCTAGGTACAGGTCAAGACTTAACATACACATTACAGACGTATGTAGAAAAGTGGGGACAAAAGATACACTACTTGACTAAGACATACATAAGGAACATACAAGGGTACTATACTAGGCTAATACAAAGTGTTCTAGTTACTGAGCTAATACAGAGTGGTCAACTTCTCGCTTTTTGTACAATAGAAAATGTGGGAACAGATCATGTTTGTGATACATGATATTAGCGAACATTGCTGATCGATTGAGTCCTTACCCCCATCACACGTTGTTCCTGTCCCGCGGCCCGGTACACTGTGTGTAGTCGCCCTGTCTCTTCTTAGTACGCCCGTGGAGAGACCAGCGACCGGAGGGACTGCAACGTCTCACGGCAAACCCTGTTTGAAAATAAAGTACAGACAAGACTCAATAAAAAGTGTCCATCGAAAAGATAGGATGGGAAGTAATTAGTTTACATGATAAGAGGAAAGAAAGAAAGAAATGAATTTCAAATTTTCTTGAAAATATTGATCTATATATTTGAACCTGTAGTGATAAAAAGGAGGAAAGGCTCAAAGAGCAACAAAAGAAACGGAAAGGAGGGCAGGAAAGAAGGAAGCAAGCATTAACACTGGTTGAATTCATTGAATAATCAAATGAACGTTAGAGAAAGTAGTAGAACTAGCCCATGTTTCCAAAGCTGTGGTAAACATAAACCAAACCGAAACGTAGTACAAACTGACAGACACACTGAAAAGCAAGATCCTCCTCGCGAAATCAGAAACTATGTAACGTTACACAGAGGCATTTAAACATAAGGTTAGCTAGTCATACCATTCCGGGTGAATCCAGGACGGTAGCTCGGGCAGGGAACGGTGGCGACTCTCCCCGCCGGAGTCTCCGGCCAGCAGGCTACTCCGTCCCAGCTCTGCCGACACGACCGGCCTGGAAAACACAACAGCAAGAGCCAGTCACAACACCACGTGATACATGATAAAGAAGAAATAGGAGATTTCAGACTTCCGGGAAGTATTTCGGGTTTTCGTAATCGCATGCGCATAGGCAGATGTCCGGGACGTCTCTGTGGAATTTTATGATTTTTTAAATTTAATCGGGTACTATATTATACCGCTAAGGTACATACTGGGTCAGCTCAGGTGACCTCCCTATCAATTGTCAAAATCACCTCCCACCCACCGTATTACGGATCGAAGCTATTTGTACAAGCAGTAGCCAGGATCTTGCCTCCTAAAACAATACTACCGTACCCATACTACCCCATGCATGGTCAAGACGTATGTGACTTGGAACCTGTGCTTGCAATTTGTGGAAAAAATGTGCTGACCGTTCCCCTGATGAGCGTGTCTGTTGGAGCGCATGTTATCCCAGCACCGTGCCCTCTCCTGCCGATACAGCTTCCTCCGACCTGCTCTGGTAAAGTCGCTACACTCCTAGGTAGCATCAAGAAAACAGCCACTGGGTTAGGATATGTAGCAGCCGAGCTAGTCTGCCAGTAGGTCATGGAAACAAGAAAATACCAGCTTATAACTTATAAGTATCCACATTCTCAAAGTTATGATAGCATCTCCATCCTATTCAAGCTTTACATATATTACGAATAATATGCACCGTACCTTGCATTTAGGTGGGCGAAGGCAGACGTCGTTCAACACGTCAGACGTGACGCCTTCGTAGATTTCCTTGTAGTGTTTAACAACAGTTGCCTTGAAGTAGACCGGAGCATCCTTGCACGACGACGCCGTCCACGTCAGGGAAACGTCGTTCATCTTCTTCCTGTCCCTGTTGTGGTGCGTAACGGCATTGTCGTGAACGCCATCGCAGTCCAGCGCCTTTGTCCTCGGCGGTAGGCGAGACCACCTCCCGACGATCTTCTCCCCATCACCCGGCGATCTGGCCTCGAGGAGGAACCCCAGAAACCCCGACGTCCCGTTGAGCGTGATCTTCCACTTGGTCTGCGGCCCTGTGAAATCCGGCTCGGCGAAGACCCGGTACCCGCCCGTGCCCGCCCGAGGCTTGTGTCCGTGGACGGGGTGCATGGAGTCACAGGCGGCCCGGGGAGCGCCGTTAGGGTAGGCGGCTACAGACGCACTCAGCACCGAGACCAACAGGAGAGAACGCACGGTGCGCATTCTGTCGGAGTTTTGGACGATGCACAGAGCTGGTAAAAGTGCGACTCTCTGAGTACAGCCGAAAGGGGGTATCCTCTTTATATACTGGGCCGTCGCCTGGTTTGTCTATTCTGTATGCAAATGAGAAGAACTGATTTCTTTAACCAATTTGACTGTTTGCCAAAGCCCACAAGACGTTTACATAATCACACATTTCGGGGCGGTTGCCAACAACAACACGCATTGACAATAAACAACAGTCAACAGAAGTAGGTAAACAACGCGTGGTATTGCGGTCATCATGGACATCATTGTGTATGACCGACGCCCTCTGAAAACACAAATTAACAAGAGCAATTAAACCGTACAAGTTTGAGTCCAGACACTTTTCGTCGAAAGGACAAATCCAGCTGCGTCTTTTTAATAGGGTCTTCTCGCAAGAACTGACTTAAGTGGGGTTGGAAAGACGCCTTCTTCAAGTTCTCGTGCCAAAAAGTAAACTTAACGACTTCTTGGAAACTGTCTGGTAGACTCTTCTGTCTTGTCGGATGTACTGTAGCACGCAACGGCTTATCCAGCAGTGGCTGGGAGCCCTTTGTGACGTCACTAAGACTAACACCCTCCCCACTAGAAGCAGCTACCGCTGAGCGATCGACATAAGATTTAACAGATCGCTTGAAGAAACTCATAGATAAAGAACGAATCGATTTTGAAGTTGTGTTTGTTTTGTTGTCTTTTGATTGATACTTAAATATCATGTCAACTATAAAATCAAGGGTCACACAAATCCAACTTTTGTCGCTCAGCGATTGTTGTGAAAGCGATTACTAGCACATAGCATATCGACTCTGTCAGTCATTTGACCATGTTCCAGAAATTTCAAGCGGTCCTTATAGTTTTGTCTCTAATCTAAACCGTCTGTCCTTCACTAAGTACCTGCCGCGCGGGTGTTTGGCTCACTACTTCCACTTCTGAAGCCTTGTTCTTACTAACGATTCCCCGAACAATACACAACCGCGACAACTGCCACTCTAAGGCCCTCTAACGATGCTTTAGTCTCCTGGTATTGAGACATCTCTGTCAGCGAGACAGGCTTACAGTATTTGCTCTGTTTAGTCTCACTGAGGGTGGGTGGGTGATGAGAATATCATTAGGCTAAACGTAGCTACCCATCTTGGTTCTACAGGCATTTTTATAGACCGTCTCAAAGTTCAAAGTCCTGTACTGTGCATGTCAGATGATCATCATCTTCATTATTATCAACATCTGCAGGACCCTAGGACTCTAAACAATAAGCGCCCATACATAGGTGGAGGAATCGGTCATTAAACACTATATCTTGTTGCTCTGACAATCTAGAACCATCAAGGGGTATAGGATTGCCTTTGCCACTTTTTAACAGAGAAGAATTAAAACGTAGAAGCACCAACACCTTGTCTATACAAGAGAATAGACAATTCAATTACATGTTACATACTGTATTACTTTGTATCAGTGGCTATCGTACAACTAGCTACAGGCCAAAGTCCGCCACCTCTGAGCTCCTGTATTTGCTAATCGATAACCTACACTGCTATTTTTGTACTCAACGTCAGTCATCAGAGGGTAATGTGTTGAGTAAATTCTCACTCCATCTTGCTCTGGTTTTAATGACTTTTCTGGACCAAAAAGGGTCGTCAAGATGAGAAAAGCAGAGTCCAGGTCACAGACACCGAGAAGAACGGGTTACCGGCTGGCCAGATACTCGGAGGAAGGGTAAGTATTGACTATTGTAGGGGATGAAGCCTATTTCGGGACCAGCGCTTGAATAAGACACCACCATATCATGTAAAATTCTTATTTAATTACCAGGCAAATTAGAGGGCACTCTTGCGACAGTCGTGGAAGTGAAGTAAAAAAATGTGATGCAAAGACTCTTGTAGACTATTGTCGGCGGTCGGGTTTGTCAAATCGCACGACAAAAAAGACTATACGACGCATGTGAATGTGCCTTCCATTGCGGGGAGGGCGGTGGCGCACTATATTATATGACTGTAAGTTAAACTTTTACTCTGCGTCACCTGAGGTGAACGTCCGCTAGGGCAATCTTGGTACGTGGATTATCGTGTTTAGGTGAACTTCAACGTTAACCGCAGTTACACAGTGCGAATGCAGTTAAACACGCACCACTACCATTGGATTGGCCCGGCCTCGTTTGCACAACTGTGTGCCCCAAGGGCTGAAAAAAGGAGATAGGTGCCGCCTGACACACGCACCGACACTTGTGGAAAGGACTTTGACAATTGAATACTCCTAATGGTTCAGGTAAAATGTTGGAGGCACAAAAGTTCACTCCGGGTGAACGCCCCGTCGGTAGGTCATGTTGAGGTAGCTGATAAACGATAAGTGCAGGATAGAAACCGCGACAGGTGGTGATTTATACATCATGCGGAGCCTTTCAACGTGTCTCAACTTTAAGTTTACACCAAACATGAAAACGTGTTCTCTCTGCCAGTATAATGCCACGAAACAGAACACAGGTCTCTTTGTCTGGTATACCGGCACGACGTCCCATCCAATCTTCATCCGGGTTGGTCACATAATCTGGGTCCGGATCCGGATCTAGATACTTTTGAAAAACAATGTACCGACAAGACAAGATTTTAAAATGCTCATACATGTATATCAGAGCACAATTCAGGGCCCAATATAGCATTGTGTACTTTCAATACTGAATAAACCATTATCACTATCACTGAATCATTATTATCATTTAATTGTCCGCACAACACACGTGAACGTTCACCTAGAAAGATAAAGAAAAAAAGAAAGGAGGGAAAAAGACAGAGAAAGGAGGAGAGATAAATATTAAGGCGGAAGTCACTCTCCAAGGCTGGAGGAGCCACCTGTAACAGCTGATTAGGAACCTTTCCCGTGGGGAAGTGCTGATGAAACACTTCTATTGTCTGTCTTTGGGGAGGGTCTGTCTTTGAAGGTGTCAAAAGTTGAATCTGACTCAGTGACCCGTTTTTTTTCTGCGATCGCAAGGTCGGTGACCTGTGTGTGAATACCTGTACGTGCTTCCAGACAAGGGCTGACTGTATATAGACCCAAGGATAGCCGCATCGATGCGTGCGAAAAGCCTGCGAAACATTCCTACCTCTCGCTGAACCCACCTCAGCAAATATTCCATCTAGGAACGGCCCACTTCTTTCAGCCAGGGGGACGGTTTTGTTTCGAAAGAAATAAAGTCAATGCATTTATCTTTGAGGATAGCTCCCTTCATAAAGGGACTATGCAGAAAATCTATTGACTTGAATATTGCTGATTTGAATGTGGTACAGTCGTTAAAAATTGTTGTAACAATTGGTTCGTTCCTGTGGCACTCCTGCATATATTTACCAGCTCCCCTTGGGTTTAAAAACCTGCCCGGCGACACGTTTCGCAACACAAGTGTGTCACCTGTACGGCATACTTTGTCTGACGTCTGCTCGAGTTAGTTCCAGTGCTGGGAAAGAACCTCGCGAAGCTCACAACCACTTTTCTGCCAGAAGACTCCAGCAGGACATCTCAAGTAAACGCCGTGGTAGCGCAGGCGTTCGATGAGATCCTGCCTAGATAGAGCGTTTGGAAGAACAGAGCCGCCTACGTTCTGCAAAGTTCTGGCCAGCTCTTCAGTGGCAGGGGCGTTATTGCATTCAGGACAGCCGGTGTTCTCTGCATATTCCCACAACAGAAGAGTCGACGCCTCAGTTTGGATCTAAAGACCGTTTCCTAGTGAGCTCTGGCTACCAACCATCTGCACGAGCCTGGGCCAGCTAAGAAAAGCGGCGTTCCCGCAATTACAGCAGCCACAATTCTTCACGGACTGACTTCACAGCACCCGCAAAATGAGCGACGTGGTGGAAAATACAAACCAAGGATCCCACCAGAACGACATGGCGGTACAGGACGGTACAACCAACCCGCCGGCCCAGCACAAGAACGGGTTCTACCCCAAGGTCCCCAGCGAACAGGGCGGTGTAGGACAGGGCACGGCGAACCCTGCGTTCACGTAAGAACAGTTGCATCTTGATTTCCTGAAAATCTAACAATTCTCCTCGACTATTTCAAGCTCATGATCAGTGTTTACTAGCCTGGGTACCATCCGGATTTTCGCTCCGCAACGCTCGAAAAAAATTTTTTCGAGGCGTTGCGGAGCGAAAATCCGGATGGTACCCAGGCTAATAATTAAGTAATTTTTTAAAGTGTTAACTTCTTTTAAATCTAATGTCAGAGACAGAGTGTTTCGTACTCGTAGTTCTTGCGGTTTGGTATCACCGTGTTCTGGCTACTTGTAGTTAGATATAAGTCGACCAAACGGGCTGTAGGACTGAGAACGGCCTTTTAAAGTTCATATGCCTGAGGCAACGACGTTAAGCGCACTGTTGAGTCACGCTATTAAAAAGGTTATGCTTACATAGACGTTTGCCCATTAGCAAGGTAAAGCTTTGCAGTTTGAATTTATAATACATTTCTATTTGATTTTGCAAACAGTGCGAGCAAAATCACTTAACATTGTTCTCTAAACGTTATTCGTTGCATGGTGACAATGTCAGTATCTATCCATACACTCGTGCTTAATATGCTTAATAATAATGTAAAACACCTAAGTTTCTGCCAGGCCTCCCTAGTACATGTATTCTACACGTAGATTATAGGCCATTATAGTCACACAGTTTGGTCTGCCAAATGAGAAAGCAAAGCCTTTCTATACACTTTGGTGATTGTTCATTGGCTTGGTGGAATACGTACTTGTGATCCTGAGTTTGTATGAGGTGAAAAAGAGGTCACACATTCATTCCATATTCAGCACTGCGGCCCCATCGCGCTATGGCGGGAAAACTGCATATGGGTCAGACATGTTTGCCCATGTGCGGCCTCACGTGTGTTCTGATATCCCGTTTATTTTACAATGTCTGTTGGGGGATGGCTAGGCCTTGTTGTGTCCTGAACCGTGTCTTTTCCCAAACTGTGCCCAGGCACGGTTTGGGACACTCAGCGCGTCTGTGAACCGTGCCTGGTGCAAATTGTAATTTTCCTCATCACCGGAACGTGTTAAATTCTTACCCGATGCTAACTCACAGATTTTCTATAAGTAGTAATGTTGCATCTAATGATGCAACGTTCCAAGAAACTACCAGGCCTCACCCTATTTAAAGATTTCCTGCCAAATATTTAAAACTTTCGGTCAAATGCTTACACAAGGTTGCGTAAGTCTCGCCGTTACGTCACGAGGTGGGCCACACCATTTACTGAGATGGGAGCCTTAAAAGTTTCATATTAGTTTATATGTGGGACCAAGAAAGTCCTAACTTTTTCCATGTTAGAGTCTTCAAATGACCACAATAATAATCTGACATGATCAATCCTCTAAAAGGTGTTATTTGCTCCAAGTAATATGTAAAGAAATCGTATATTGTCAAATTTCATAGAAGTGGTTTCTCCCGATGAGGTCACGTTCAGGTCAACGTCCTGCCTGGCTGGTCCCGGGACAGCGTGGAAATCTGGCCTATATAAAAGCGAATAACGGTCCGGTTTCCTTCATTTCTACGCTGTAACCAGGTCTACCGCCTTCTGTCAGTTTTGGGTATAATTTTACAACCGTTGCACGAGAATACTTTCATCGAAAAGCGCAGAATTCGGACAGAAATCTGTCAACAGGCGCGCGTCATCAGGTAAGGTTGGAACCTTGCGGTAAACCATCTGTATCTGTATCTGTATCTGTATAGCCGGTATAACCGCCTTTCGGCGTAACACACCAGCTTCGCAGGCACGCGGCGCGGCGGCAGCTGGCTATATTACACCGATCGACTTGTTACACCTAACCCTTGAACTTCTAGCTCTAGACATTGTTTAAAGCTATCTATTGACAATGCCCCTACTGTACTTGGTGACAGTGAGTTCCACTCTGCGATAGTTCTAGGAAAGAATGAATTCTTGAACACCTCAATCCTTGGTTGATAACTCTGGTACTTGAATGTGTGGCTATTTCTTGTTCTCTTCTGGGCTGGTATTAGGTACTTAGTAGTTGGGACATCCACCAGTTTATTAGTCATTTTGTACATCATGCATAGTCTAGACATCTTTCTTCTGTCTTCCAGTGAAGTCCACTGTAGGTTTCTTTTCATTTCCGTGACACTAGCACCTCTTACATAGTTGTTCATACAGAATCTTGCAGCTTGATTCTGTACCCTTTCCAATTTGTCTTTGTCTTTCTTTGTATATGGATCCCATACTGTCGCAGCGTATTCTAGGTTCGGTCTTACAAGTGACGTGTATGCAAGTGATTTTACTCTAGTTGGACATGCCCACAGATTACGTTTAATCACTCCCAATGTCTGTTTCGCCTTAGTTGTGATATTATTAACATGTGTACCCCACTTCAGTCCGCTTGTCAGCGTGACACCCAGATACGGATGGATTTTTGTGGTTGCTAAAGCCTGACCACAAAACTGGTAGCTAGTTGCATGTGGTGTTCGTTTGTTTGTTATGTGCATAATGTAGCATTTTTCGGGATTAAACTGCATGAGCCATTTGCTTTGCCATTCTTCCAGGGTGTTCAGGTCTTTTTGGAGAAGTTGTGAGTCGGTCTGTGTAGAAAGCTCTACATACAATAGACAGTCATCGGCAAATAACCTCACATTTGAGTCAAGCTGATCTGGTAGGTCATTTATATACAAGAGAAAGAGCAATGGCCCCAGGACGGTTCCTTGAGGGACCCCAGACGCTACTTTAACTGGAGCCGACGCCTTCCCTTCAACCACTACTGTTTGCTCCCTGTTGGTCAGGAAAGCCTTTAACCAATTCAGCGTAGGGCCTTGGATTCCATAATACTCCAGTTTTGAGATGAGCCTGCCATGGGGGACTTTATCAAAGGCTTTAGTGAAATCAAGTATTGCTAAATCTACCTGCCGTTTACTGTTTAGTGCGCCAGCTATGTCATGGACTGTTAGTATAAGCTGTGTTTCTGTGGATCGTTTGGCTCTGAATCCATGCTGGTAATCTGTTAATATACTATAACTTTCTAGGTGCTTCATGATTTGGCTATGGATAATATGTTCAAGTAGTTTGCAGGATATGCAGGTCAGTGAAACAGGTCTGTAATTGCTGGGGACCGCCCTATCTCCTTTTTTAAAGATGGCGCATATATTTGCATCCCCCCAATCTTTAGGGATTTCTGCAGTGTTTAGCGAGTGTTGGAAAATATTGGTTAGAACAGGCGCGATTTCACTAGCTGTCAACTTGAGGAACCACGGTGGTATTTGGTCTGGTCCGGATGCTTTAGAGGGATTGAGACCTTGAAGCATTTTTTCGACACCATCAGTAGAAACTACTATATGTTCCATTGGAGGAGTACAGGGCTGGCCTAGAGATGGCATATCTGTGGTGTCTTCCTCTGTGAAAACACTTTTGAACTGTGAACTGAGTACTTCTGCTTTTTTCCCACTGTCACTGATGATGGTATTTCCCACCTTTAGGGGTGCTACCCCGACAAGGTCTTTCCTCAGTCCTTCTATGTACGACCAGAATGTTTGGGTTTGTCAACTATAGCTTCTCCCAGTATGTCTGCCACGTATTTAGAGTGTGCTTGTCTTATGCTTTTCTGAACTCCCTTCTTAACTCTCTTATATTTGTTCCAGTCTTCCTCTTGGCCTGTTTTCTTAGCTTTGTTATAGAGCCGCTGCTTCTTACGACAGTGCCTCCTTAGGTTTCTGTTGAACCAAGGCAAGTTGTATCTGCTTGATGTTATCTTACTTGGGATGTGCTTGTTCATCGTGTCTTTCATTTTGTCTTTGAAGTCTGACCACTTCTGTGTAACTGACATATCCTGAGTTCTTTTGTGAAAGTTAGTTGCATAATCCTTTAGGTCTTTCTTAATGGCTGGTTCGTCGGCTTTTGTGCGGATGTACACTTTTCTCTTAGGTTTCCTGTTTTGTTTCAGTGCCAGGTTAACGTCCACTAGAACCATGTCGTGGTCACTTATCCCCGGGACTACTGTGGTCTTCTCAATTATGTTGGGGTTATTAACTAAGACCAGGTCCAAGAGATTACCATTTCTAGTTGGTTCCTGGACTGTTTGAAATAACCCGTGGTTATCCATTAGGTTTAGTAGTTTCTCTGCTTGGCCTGTGTAGGCCTGACTGTTGTCAGCTACAATAGTATCCCATTTGATGCCAGGGGTGTTGAAATCGCCAAGAATGATCACATTGTCAGAGTTTATTTTTGCTCCCATTTTACCTATAGACCTGTCAAGTTCATCCAGACTATTTCCCTGGTCTGATGGGGGTCTGTAGTATGTACCTATTATCAGTGGTTTCCTTCCTGCAAGTTGAGTTTGTGTCCACAGAACCTCGCAGTCTGTGTCAAGGTCTGGCCTATGGGTAACAATTAGATCATCTCTGTTGGCCTGAAATACACCACCTCCTTGGCCAGTTTGTCTGTCTTTCCGGTGTGCTATGTAGTGAGGATACCATGAGGATACCTCGATGATAATTTGCTTGACTCTGTGTATAATGTCCTTGCTTGAATGCTGTATGCAGTTAATCATAATTTGCACTATCACAAGTTACTGATGTTGCATTTTAGAGAATACACGAGCAAGCATAAACCTCCTTAATGCTCCTTCATGTACCGTTATATCAGAATGTCTGCTATTTTTTCGTGGTGTGTTAATGTTATACATGTGTGTTTTGTACTTAGTGGAAGTTTTAGTTTAATTTTACCTTGTATTTAACCTTCTTGATTTTACTTGCAACACATCGGTTTTATGTGTAACGTTAAATACGGACATGTAAATACCGGCATAAAATAAAGGACCAAGGTGGAATTATCCGCATGTTGACCTCAGTTTGAACCTGCTGACTCATTCATTCATTCATTTAAAAAATGTGTTGGCTTCTTGAACATAATCTTGCAGTTTAACTCTCTGTTTGCAAATCTCAGAAAGTAAGTGTTAGCTCTGTACCACAACACTATTGTTAAACTTCCAAGTTCCAACACAGTTAAACTTTCATTCTAATACAGAATACTCTTTATAGTCATAATGTTTCTGTCTGTATTCTACATATGAAGTCTACTTAAGTTCCTATGAATTTCTAGTTCTTGATAAAGGTTTAAAACAAAGGTTAAGTAACGTTACCTCCCTAGCTATTTCAAAAGAGTCTGGAAACCCTGGCACAGAGAAGATATAATGGGCAGAAACACCAGCAGCCAAAGGGTTAATTTTATTGACCTGATCATATGCTGTAATGTTGTGTTATTTCATGTCAGGGTTCTCACCACAGGAGTCCATTAAAATCGACAACAGGCCACATGTCTTTCCTGGTGAAATAACTGAACTATAACTTCATGTTTCCCCAGAGGTATGCAGACTGGTGAGGAGCTGTCCAGACTCACGGCCCCCCTCCACAGGAGGTCTGTGAAGGAGGGGGTGAACCTGCACTTCAGGGGGATCTATGTGCAGATAGACGGGAAGGACATCCTACATGATGTGTCAGGAACAGTCAAACCTGGGGAACTGCTCGCTGTCATGGGACCAAGTGGTGAGTGGTTATCTCTTTTTTCCATGATGAACAATCGGAGGACAGGGAACAACAGACGATAAGCTGGATAGTGAGTGACTGAGTGAGTGAGTGTGTAATCAGGCCTTTTATTAGTTTTGGGTTTTCATAATTTGTAGACAGCACCCAAAAGCAAGTGGCAAAAATTGCAGGCCATTGAATGAATAATCATTTTCCAGTCCTATACTGAGTATAGCACAATTGTAGTAAGTACAGGTCACAACAAAAGGATACAGATATATGTGCAGTATTTATATACAATATATACATATATACACCTTGAGCACGTTAAAGATCCCACCAGTGCAACACTTGTCGAAAAGAGCAGGGGTCCTCCCTGGTGCGAGTGGTTGAAACCTTAATTAGTTCTCAGGTTTGACATGTTGAAAAGGTGAAAACTACCTGTTATGTCAATCCTTCCACAAATCTCAATAGATAGATAGATAAATAAATACACACATTGTCTTCCCAAGGTTCTGGAAAGACGACCCTCCTGAGTGTCTTGTCAGGAAGAGTCTCTCCTGAACACCTGAAGGCCGGGGAGATTCTCGTCAATGGAGGGCCAATCACAAAACGTATCAAGAGGAAAATCTGCTACGTCTTACAGCAGGACATCTTCCTAGGGAACCTCACACTTAGAGAAACACTCATGGTGAGTCTTCAAGTCATACACAAAATGTACAGGTATGCAAAGCAAGTCTTAGGTACAGAGGGACTAAAGAGGAAAAATGGACTCGGCAGCTACATTAGGTTTGGATACCAAGCTATCCATACCAAGCTATAAGTATAAGAAATGCAGAAATGCTATCCTGTATTGGAATGACTAACTTTCTAAGTGCTATGCATAACGCAATATCATATTACCATCAGAACTAGCACAAGGTAGTAATATTGTGGTTTGGAGAATACAAAACCATGCAGGAGATACATGCAATCCATTGTTAAGAATTTGACTAATTGATTTTCTTAATTTTCTATGTTTGATCTGTCAGTTCACAGCCATGTTGAGACTGCCAGAGAAAATGCCGTACCATGAGAAAGAGAAGAAAGTAGAGGAGATCGTCGACGCTTTAGACATCAGGAAATGTCTGGATACACGTGAGTGACACACTGCTGGCCAGTTGATGGGTAGAGTTAGTAATAATCCTACCTAACCCTCTATCACAACAAGGAGGTGAGAGTAGAGAAGATCATGAGTTTTGGAGTTGAAATATGACTGTAAGTGTTTTGAACTCTTATGTTTGAAAGACTCACTGTTTCATCAATTCATGTCTTTATTTTGTCCATGTCTGTTCTGTAGTGATAGGAACAGACCTGAAGCGAGGTTTGTCAGGCGGTGAGAAGAAGAGAGCTAACATCGCCAGTGAGCTGCTGACAGATCCCTCCCTCATGCTGCTAGATGTGAGTCAGTCCCTCATGTCATCACACTGTAGCCTGCTTAGTCCAGTTACAGATTAATGACCCAGAGGTCGTGAGTTCAAATCCTGGCTGGTCTCAGGTACAGGCACTAAACTTCCACTTGTATTCACTTATTGTGACTAAAGCATCTTAAATACTTCAACGTGACTACAGGAACAAACCACAACAGCTTTACTATCTTGATCCCTTCCCTCAGAATAAGCAACACTTCAAACAGAGAGCTTTCAACACAATTTCGTTTACAAAGCAGGAGCTTTTAAGCCACAACACAACACGTTAATAGGGACCTCCTGTAAGTTCTGTTACAGACAAACTCTTTAAACAATCTCTTTATGTGTTTATTCTTTTTTGTCCCCAGGAGCCGACCTCTGGCCTAGACTCTAGCACGGCGTACAGCCTGATGACAACAGTGAAACAGTACACAGAACAGCACAACAAGACAGTCGTCACTACCATCCACCAGCCCTCCAGTCAGATCTACCACATGTTCGACAAGCTGCTGCTCATGGCTGATGGAGAGGTGAGTTAGGCTATAACTCATTAACTTAAACCACTAACTCATTAACTAATCACTAACCCATCCACCAGCCTTCCAGTCAGATCTACCACATGTTCGACAAGCTGCTGCTCATGGCTGATGGAGAGGTGAGTTAGGCTATAACTCATTAACTAACTGTTAACTCATTAACCAACCATGAACTCATTAACTAATTACCAATCTTCCAGTCAGATATGTAGAAGCTGTTACTTTTGTCTGATGGAGAAGTAAGTTGACAGTTAGAAGTAAGTAATGGAACTGCTAACTCAACTGGATCTGTTACAGGATGCAGTATTCCTTGTTTTGCCTCACAGTGCCCTCTCCATTAATTTCCTGCAAAACCCTGGGAACCAAGAAAATATTCTTGAGTATGTTAAATGTACAGCCCACTGATTTCTCTTACTGTATTTTACAGATTGCGTATTTTGGAGATGCCCATAACATCCTGGAGTTCTTCAGCAGACTGGGGATGCAGCCCAAACCTAACTACAATCCCGCTGACTTCATCTGTAAGTTTATACATGTATAGTATTTAGGAACATTCAATATGCATATTTCACCCTTTTACTTTTAGCACATGTAAATCTACATGAATAAAGTGTTAAATAGAACGACTGTTTTAAATAGAATTTTGACAAACACGTAGGGTCTTGATGAATAATTGTGAAAAAAATCTGATCTGATCTTTTGAAGATATTGATTTTGAGGTTTTACGACCTGCAAATTGCTGCAGAAAAGATTAATGTTTCTTTTTTTTTCTTATTCCAGTGGAGAAAGTAAAGGAAAGTGATGAAGTAGAGAAGAGAATCATCCATGCTTCCAATGAGATGAGGTGAGACATTGTGGAAAGGTTATGGCCTCAAAAAGGCTATAGGACTACCTTTACCAAATAATTACCTTTTACCAGGTGAAGAAAAGGTTTCATGAGCCCTGTTATAGATGGCTACTCTCAAAGCAGAGGCTGATGGGGAAAGATTTTAACCTTTTTATATATGGTCCATTTTGAAAGTGGACCCATCAACCTCTGCTTGGAGAGTAATAGATGGCTTCCTTTAGACTTTTAACATAATTTGAATTGTCATTTTTTTCTAAATTGAACATCTTATTCTCTCGATCTTGCAGGAAAGTCTCGACCCTGTCCCCCCTGACAGGCTCCAGTGAAACCATGGCAACCGGGAGGAAAAACATCAAAACCATCAGCGGACTGAACCACAGAAACGGGCTGGGTCCCAACAACGTGCATCTGAACCATGTTCCCAAGGGTAAGTACAATAAATTACAGTACAGAATCACTGGTAAAAAGTTTCATCAGGTTGGTAGATCACTGGTTATCTATTGAAAATATTCTATTATACACAGCCTGCTGATGTTTCAGTGACTCTGTCACCTTTCTTGGTGCAGTACTTCACACTGCAGCTAGGTGTCGCTGCTGCATTGTTAAGAATTTGGTACAAAATGAGGTTTTACAGGGGATTTGAGGGCGGATGCAAATTGTCCACATTTGGGACAGCATTTGAGCTTAACTACGTGTAGCTCTAGATCGTTTTGAATGTTCACTAGAAGTGTTTCCTTCCAGGAGCTGTAGCTGTGGATATGGGGGAGGGTGAGAAGGAGGCAAAATGGCCAACTGGTTTCCTGACACAATACAAGGTACATGTAACTTCTGTTGTATAACATTCATAACCAGACCTGTGTTACCTGCACCACTAGTTTCCTTTCAGTTCTGGGAGTGTTTACAGGGCCACAACTAGCCACATACACTCTAGTGTTGCAGAAGGTTTATCTCCTAGACCTGCAGGTTAGGTGCATGAAGATATCAGAAGTAACTGTAATGTTACCAATTGTACCTGCACTAACCCAGCAAATGCAGGAGCCACTAGACTAGTGCATGTACTAGAAGTATTTCAAGGCCTGGATTTGTCACTGATTCAATGTTTAATTTAAAAGATTCTGCATCAGAGCATGACAGAAAATGATGATTTCTTAAGTTCTAGGAGATGCGTGTACATGTTTGTGCTGCTCAGAGTCAGAGGCTGAGGGTTTAAAACTTCTGTTTTGTCAGGTTTTGACCCACAGGAACTTCAAGGAGGCCAAACCCAGGCTGTACTCGCGCCTAAACTGGATACAGAACATCGGTGTCACCCTCATCTTGGCTCTGGTGTGGTTCCAGACTCCCCTCGTGGAGGAGAAGATTCGAGATGTCTCGGGAGCCGTAAGTTTTCTTGAGATCTTGATTGTCATTGTCATCATACATTGATGTGTTATCAAGTTTCTGGGAGTGGAATGGCTGCTAGATGTGTGTAGTTAGGGTAGTACTTGTGTAGGTGTAAACAACTATGTTCATTACCCTAGAGAATATTCTAGTCATTTTAAACGTAGAAAGAAAAGTTAGAAGTCAGAGTAGTCATTTTAAACTGAAGAAAAAATAGATTACATAAGAGCATGCCTACCTGTATATATATATACAGGGAGGAATGCTCTTATGTTACATAAAAATGTAACGTTAAATGAATTCATCTATTTTGTGCCTTTCAGATTTTCTTCTTGATCACATACTGGGGGTTTATGCCAATGGCTGATGCTCTGTTAGCATGTAAGTACAAAGTTTGAAGTTGCGTATCAGAACATTGTAAACAAGTCATTTTACAGAAATATGTAATGCCTATTACAGAAACATGGCAAGAAGTCAAAGATTTCATATCTCCATGAAGTACTAAGTATCTAAGAGTTGTTGTGAATTTCTGGTTTTAGTCATTTTCGTGTGCCTCAACTGTACCATGCACTTGCTTCCCAGCAGCCTGTGGGGAGGCCTTTTTTGACCTCCAATAGTACAACCTTCCTGTCTGAATCAAAATTAAGTACTGTGTTGGATCGCGTAGTGTTGACAACCTGACCTAAGTTGTTACCTAAGAATATACATTTTTCTAGCAACCCAGGTAACATCTTGTGTTTGTCTCTTCCACAGTTCCATCGGAGAGGCTTGTGGTAAATAAAGAGCGGTTAGCCGGTTCCTACCGCCTGTCGTCCTACTACCTGGCCAAGGTGACCAGCGAGGCACCTCTCATGCTGCTGCTCCCTACATTCATGATATCTGTGTGCTACCCCATGTGTGGGTTTGGTAATGCTGCAGGATTCTTCTCCGCATGGAGTCTTCTCATGCTGAGTGCACTCACTGCACAGGTAAGGAAGGATGGAGGGAATGAATGGATGGAGGGATGAATGAAGGATATCTGTGCTACCCCATGTGTGGGTTTGGTAATGCTGCAGGCTTCTTCTCCACATGGAGTCTTCTCATGCTGAGTGCACTTACTGCTCAGGTAATTAACATAAGGATGCAGGGAGGGAATGAATGCATGAAGGGATGGGTGGATGAAAGAATGGATGGATGGATGAAGGGTAGGACATGATGGTTGAATGAATGAATTCAAATCAGAAGAAAGCCTGCCATGGTTCAGATGGCTTATCGTTGGCAATAGTTTCATACATACATATCTTTTTACTAATAATGTCCATAGTTTTCTTCATGAATGCTGTTTTTCCTTCCCCAGTCCATAGGATTCTTCATGAGTTCAGTGTTTTTTGAGTTCCGTGAGGGCCTGGTTGCGGTGTCAGTGTTCATGCTGTCTAACCTACTGCTGGGAGGGTTCTACAACTCTGACATCCCGTTCTGGCTGACCTGGGTGCAGTACCTCACCTTCCTCAACTACTCCTTCCAGGCACAACTCACCGTACACTTCACTCCAGAACATCTGTACAGGTAGTTTATTTACTTCTGTTTTTTTTTATACAGGGTAGGCCTTCTCAGTGCCTATAACAGTGTTTTACAGGCATAAGCTGTACAGAGTAACAGTAACAATAATATATGAGAATAATAAAAAAAAACAAAAAACATTGTATCTGCACTAGTATATCAGACCTAACAGTTATATCAACAGGCCTTCTCAGGCCTATAAAAAAAAAACGAAACAATATACATTGTATCTGCACTATATCGGACCTATATCAACAGGTCAGTGCCTATCACAGTGTTTTACAGGCATGAGTTGTACAGAGTAACAGTAACAATGATATATGAGAATAATAAAAAAAAACAATATACATTGTATCTATACTATATCAGACCTATATCAACAGGCCTTCTCAGTGCCTATCACAGTGTTTTACAGGCATGAGCTGTATAGAATAATAGTAACAATGAAATATGAGAATAATAAAAAAACAATATATCTGCACTATATCAGACCTATATCAACAACAACATATCAGACCCAGATGGAAGAAAAAAGTCACTGCCTTATGTCTTGCAAGGAATGATGAAGATAAGTATATCTGATATTCTATACAGCTACTGGAGGCTAAATCACACTTATCACACTTTGCACAATTTTTGAATCAGAGTGGAACTTTGCAATGCCTTTTTCTCCATCTCCAGGTGCAGCACAGACAAGTCCCTGTTCAGCACCTGTATCAATGCCTTAAACTCAACATCAACAGAAGCTACAACAGTGGGGAACATCGGAACTGCTGCTGCTACCACCCTTAACTCCCTCCTCACCACCACTGCATCAGCCTTAAACTCCACCTCAGAAGTTATCCTAAACACCACAACTCAAGCTACAACTTCTCTAAGCAGTACCATGGTAAGCACCACCATGGTACCACCTTCGCTGCCCACGGTACACATACCGTCAGAGGAGATCCTACTGCAGCTGGGAGCAAGATTTCCGATGTGGGTGGATGTTATTGTGTTGTTGGGCATCATGTTTGGGTTTAGATACCTCGGTTACCTGGTACTCAGGTACTTCAGGAAACCCAAATAGAGCAGTTTTTAACCAAAGTTTTAAAGTGTGCAGTCTATCTTCTGTCTTTTAAACTCACAGAATAGAGGCAAATGGTATAGTATAAGGACCACATCTGTAAAAGGACCACCTGGCCATAGTGGCCATATTTTGGTGGCCTTTAGATTATTTTCTTAATTGAACTTTATCAAAATCAAGAATCGTGTCTATAGTGGCCACCTTGCAAATACTCATTCAAGTCTTTAAAAGACAACTGATTTTAATTGGCATTGATCATGACTAGTTATGATTATGATTATGCAAGACTTAGTGTTCTGCAGCTCAGAGTTGTTGCAATAGCCTCTGGCAGCAGTTAGTCTTTTTTCATTGTGTCCCTCTGTACATGTACTATTAATTCTAATATTATTGCATCTACTCTAAGAGTTTCATATACAGTTTAAAAGGATAAAAAGATTTATTCGAAATTTTAAACAGCAATATTTTATTTCTTTTAGCATTGTTTCTGTGGATGCCAGTATTACTGTATAATAACTATAGATGCAAGTGTCATAGGAATGTATCAGATCCATTTTGTAATCAGATGTACATGTACTTGCAATGTACTCAGGAATGTGGCAGAAATCATGACATTAATTTTGATAATTTTTTAAAGATAATAGATTAGTAAATAGACATATATGAAAGAAATCACGTGCAAAAGTATTAGGAAAGGTTCAACACATTGCATGGGCCTTGTGACATTTTATGAATCAAGAGATAGAATTAGGAAAGGTAAGGAAATTGTAACAGGCCAATGTACATGTATCTCAGAACAATTTTTAATAGGACAATTTATTTACAGAAACTCTGTACCTACAAAATCTTTACCTTGGGTACAGACTTCTTACCAGACTCTATTTCCAGTTCTCATGTTTTCTTCTTTGAATCTGTGATCCAGTATTAGTTTATTGTGGCCTATAAACCAAAATGCTCATGTCATTATAATGGTTGTTGGTTTACTGGTATTCGTTTGTTGCATCTTCTTTCCTCAAAAGAAGCACAAGTTGCAAATCATTTTGTCATCGATTCTGTTGAATTTGTTCTGACTTCAGTTGTGATTTATTTTTTTGTCCTTGACAGACTGGTTTAAAGGTACAATGTTCTTGTAGTTTTATTGACCATAATACAGGTACATTTATAAATGTACTGTTCTGTCTGTTTCAAAAATTGTTTATCCAAGAAGGAAATGGTAATAAAACTTGCAATATGTACTTACTTGTATTGTTGTATAAGAAGTTCAGTATTTTTGTTGAATAAATCTTGTTGGTTCCCCAAAACAGTACCTGAATCTCTCTGGTCTTTTCAAGTGTCTGAACATGTCTTACCATGTCTAGTCTTGATACTCTTTATAATTAAACAGACAAAGATGTTGTACACCAGTGATCCTCCTACTTGAGGTTGTTGAAGTTTTTCAGCATGGTCACACACCCGAATGCACAGTAGTTCTCCAGGACCATGTTATCAGGCCTCTCAGCTGTGTCGGTGGTCGGATCATACACGAGTGCAACATGGGTCTTAACAGACGTGTTTGGAGTTTCTGTATGGTGAGTCTTTCCTGTCTGGATGACGTAGAGTTTGCCGTCGCACACTGCCATGGAACATGTGATAAAGCGCAAGAGCCAGTTCAGGTGGCGTGTCAGATGTATCCATGTGTTAGTCTGGGGCTTGTAGCACAAGAAGGAAGGCATTTTGCTGGATGGCATTGCTCCTACGATGTATATATCGGGCTGCACAGCAGCAGCTTTTAGCCGCAACATGGCGTTAGGAAGGGACGACACGTGCCTCCAGTCTTCAGTTGTGTTGCTAAACGCACAAGACAAGACTTCCATACAGGGTTCTCCAGAAGAGGTACGTCCTCCGATGACGTACATTTTGTCGTCCACTGACACGGCTGTATGGTCACGTAGAGCCTGAGGAAGGTAGGCACTACATGGCGACCACTTGTTGCTCGCTGGGGTGTACACTTCAACACTGTTAAGCGTGCTGTTTCCATCTACACTAGATGCCCCTCCTATAGCGTACACCTTACCATTCAGAACAGAGAGTGTATGGAAAATCCGTGGGGTGTTCATGGCAGCTACCTTCTTCCAAAGTCCAATGTGGGGCTCGTAGATCCATGTATCACCGAAAGTCTTCCTGGAGAACATCCCGCCGGATATCATGATGTTGTTCCCAACTGCAGTGACAGCGTAAGACGACAATGGAGGGCTGCGCGAAACAGCTGCAGAAGGTTCAGGATCTTGATCAGGCAGTTTACGTAGGTTGACCCAGCCCGCATACTGATAGTCCGGGTTGTAGTAAAATGTAGTGTGGCGCCACTGATCAAGACGTTCAGGCTGAGCTTGAACTCCAATGACCACAACAACATTGGATAAGCCGGATACCTTCCTGGGTTTGGTGCGCTGGGAGGAAACTTCCGTCGGGGGAGAGTCTGTACAGTCGGGCTTCACGGAGGAAGGCTTGGATCTCCGGTGAGGATGCCACCATGCTGTTTGTTTCCACAGTTTTCACAAGGAACACGGGATCGACAAATGGAAACCGCACGTGGGCCATGACTTCGGGAAGCGATTTTGTACGCTCCTTACGATTGTGACTCACCCAGACCAGAACTGCATCATACACGGCTTCCTCTTTCTCTGCGTTCAAGTCGTTGTCTGAGATGTACCCGCACAGCTCCTTAGAGGTCAGCTGTAAGAACTCTTCTTGTCTCACCACTTCTGTGAACTCCTTGAGGGCGTACTTTTCTGCTGCTTTAAGAAGCTGTTGGCACGACATGGTATCTGCGAACTTGAGAATCCCAAGACAGTTTGAGGGGTCCAGTTGCCTCTGTAAGAAGTCTGCACACGCCTCCTTGATCGGCAAGACTTGCAACAGATTTGAGGCTTCGAGGAGAGTCTGCGCGTTCTCCTCTGTGATGGTCACCTTCGCAGTGTACGCAAAGTCTACGACCGCCTTGACTGCTTCATAACTGACTTCACGGATCTCTACTTTCTCTTCTTTACTCTCGGCTGTGTCGTTGCAGAACATGGCCTGGAAGTACTCGCTGCAGCTGGACAAGACGGCGCGGTGACAGGGGATCTCGCGCCCACCCACGCACAGCTGAGTGTCGACCAGCTTGCCGCTGGTCCTCAGACTGTCCAGGCCCTGCAGCAGCTTGGAGGCATGGGAACTGCAGTATGAGACCACGGAGGTGTCAGCCATGTCTGTCTCACTGTGCTCTGTGAGTCTGTCACCGTTCACCTGTGAATTCAAGAATGTTGAAATGTTATCAGCATTGCAACTTTCACTTTGAACAAGGAGGTTATAGGGATCTACCTCTATGGTTTGAAATAGCAGGTCTGCTCATGGGGGGAAATGTCCCAAGGGTTTCCTGGAATTTCACTACTAGTGTAACGGGCCTGACCCGTCAGTGAATGTGGGCATACATGTATGTCAGCAAAATCCCAGAGATTCCTGTGTTCATTCCCTACCTGTGGATAAAATTCCTTGAATTCTTGCAGACTGCACACAATACTGTACTATTAGGATCCCTGTCGGGTGTGTTGTTTTCTGATTATCGGCTTTTTCGACTTCCAGTTCCACTTACTGTCTAAGGTTAATTAAGCACAAAGACGCACCAAAACACAAGTTTGGGCCTGCCATATGGAGGTAAGCCACTGCGGAGGCTAGCACACCATGGAGGCCAACCCTGATTTGGCTCTGAAAGATAAAGGGTTTGGGCAGCAGACTGGGTTTGCGTTTGGGCGGCGAATACTCTTGTAGCGGACATTAGTGCTTCTCCCGGGCCCACAAAAAATCTATCGCTTATGAACGCCAGCGTCTGCCACCCAGGCAAGGTATAACCGCCCCCTCCCCTTTTATAAGAGTTCCGATGAATACTCATTGAGCTCTCGGCAAATCACAACTCTCTTCCCTTAAGGTCATATTGAAGGGTGCCTGAGGACTTTTTGGAAATACTAATATAGAAAAAAAACTCTATCTGACATGGTAGACTTTTTGGTCTATTTTTATAATCTATAACATATTTTTTGCCAGGGCCACATTTTGACCGCAAAATTGAACGACAAAGTTCGCAATTTTTACGCGCCATCTACCATCCGGGCTCCTATATATGGAGTGCTCTTCCAAATATGGAGTGCTCTTCCAAATAATGTGCACACCCCCCGGCCCCACTGAAGCGAAAGCACGATTCCGCTGGGCCACTTGAAGCAAGGAATGTGAACTGTCACAGTGTGTGTGAGCTTCACTTTGCCATTGGGAAAGGAAAAGACAATTTTCCTGATACTTAGAGCGTTTGTAAATACAGTACATCATGTTATTTGTAGACCGCTAAGTAACCAAAATCTGCCAACTGCAAAGAATTTACGAAAACCTGCCATGCCGGCTAATCAAGTCGGAACACATATTCAACTGGAAATATACCACAGAAATCACC